TTAACTCAATCCCAGCCAAAACCAGCACAAGTACTTACCTTTTTTTTTTTCTTATTTTTTGAAGTTCCTCAGGAATTTTGATTTCTTTCTTCTGCCTATACCTGTCTAGCTTTTTGGAGCTGGGGAATTTTGACTGAACTATTTGGAAATGGGAAAACGATCTGTAATTTAAAATAGAAAATAATTAAAATTCATATTCTAGCATAGTTCTACTTCATGAACAAATTTGAGTGGCAAAATTGTGAACTCTAGTTTCTCTATTAATAGAGAAAGCTCACTCAGTGACTGGGATTAGAGAAGCATTGGCAGGGGTCAAGTCAGTTAGACCCGGGATTCTTGTTTTGCTCGGGTAGTATTTCCTTATAAAAGGAAACCATTGCAGTGGGCAGATGAGGAACTATGACATTTTGGGGGTATAGGAAAGCATTCATCCATAAGCCTACAGGTGGAAAGTCCTCCCAGCATCAGATTATTTTATGCTGTTTGACGGGGAATTTTCTGATCCCCATTGCCAAAGTTGCATCTTCAGATGTCCAAAGTGGTGGAACAGATGTCACACAGTCTCCACTCTGATAGAGTTTACTGTGACAGGGTGTTTTTGTAAACCATATCTTTCTGGCAACACTTACGCTTTCATAAAGTACTTTTCCTCCCTTTGTATTTGCAAGATTTTTTTTGTTGTTGTTGTTAGAAGTGTTAGCTCTTCTGACAGAGCTTTGAGGCCTTGAAATTTAAGTRTGCCAGGTTTTGCAGCTGTGGCAAGACATAGAGTTGGTGGTGGTGTGATTCTCTGATGCTTGAGATGCAGGCAATCCACCCATAAATAACATTGTATAGAATGGAGTGTTTGTCAGCATTACCTGAGGTTCTGGCTGGCTGGAAGGTGTCTGTGGGCYAAACACCTCTGGTGCTGGTACCAGTGGGYTGGCRGTGGGAATTCTTTGGAAGTTTAACMCAGCAGCAGTGGGATTTCACAGCTGCTTAGAGACAGAAAGGAAACTTCTGTAAARGCTAGGCAAGCAGCCACATACTTTAGGCTGTGACAGGCAGGCGCTGACATATTTTTCTGCAGTGGTTAAGGCTGTTCCTGTAACTGCCTGCCTGCTGGACATTGGTGCTTACAGTTAGGGTCAGCAGGACAGAAAACGTGCCAGCACCATGGATGCCCTGGTTCAGGGTCATGGTAGCTTAAACCAACACRGACTAATGTGAATTGCTTCATTTGGTAGGGGAAAGAGATAAACTTTGCCAAAAGTAGTCCAGTCTTCTCTGCAGCATTCCCTTGAATGCTATTGAAATGCTTCATTTTACAAGGTAAGTGAAATGGCTCATTTAGAAGTGTGTGATAGATTTAGAAAAAACACCCTGTTAGTATTTGAGGTCAGGATGTAAAGAGAAACAGAATGATCTCCTGCTCCAGGTAGTGCATTTGGAAATTTGCRCTAGAGATTTATGACCCACTTATATAAGGGATTTTATAGTTTGCTGGGTTTTTTTTCCTTAATTTCTTTTTCTTGGAAGTCTGTTGGCATGATACACAATGACATTTCAGGAGCACAAATACAAGCAGGAGATGCAGAGAAAGACAAAGCATGTAAGCRGACATTCAAGCTGGGAGTTTCTCATATACAGTACGTTTTGTRTGTTTTAAATTTAGTACTTGGGTTAACTTAACCTTGGCGAGTGCAGAAAATCTTCTGTCAAAGATCTTTCTCCAAACATTCTGTTGTGTGCATGCTGTTGGTGACATGAAAAGTATTGTTCACAGGATTTAGGTGCCTTTAGGGCTCAGCTTTAATGTTCTACAGCTTGCATAGAAAGARGCTTCTCTGAAGAATTCAGGATGAGAATGTTGCTGCTCAAATTTAGATCCAAGGCTGGAGATAAAGCTTRTAAACTTCAGTGGGACTGTTCATAAAATTATGAATGTGCTATAGGCTTTTGGATTAGAAACTAAGTAATTGTTCAATACTGAGACTAAAATAACATCAGAGAAAAAACACTAGTTAAGCCAATAATTAGTTGGTGCTACAATGAGAAAATTAAATTTGTTAGTTATAAAGTATAGCCATTAAGGATTCTGCTTTTAAAAATTAGTGCAGCATTGACATTTTCTTTTTAATGTATCATCTGTATTTTATGTAACAAGCAGTGCTGGACTGAGTTATATAAACGAGCAAGTGTTTTATGCATGTTATTTCAATTATCCGTCCTTGGAGAAGGTGACTGAAAAATAGCTCCAATTCAGTTTTAGCATCTTCATTTTGACAGTCGTAATATGCATATTAATGWAGAGTGTGAAGTGTAGAGAAATGGGTCCATTTGTAAAAGCTGGTGTCCTCTTAGTTCTTTATCTTAAAAGGAAAAGAAAGAAGAAAGAAAGGAAGAAGAAAGAAGCAGAGGGTATGCTTTATGTGGCATGCCAGGTCTTTTTGAAACAGCTTGCAGTTTCAAGCTAGCTGAATCAGCATCACATTTATTGGTGGAAGGCTATAATCACAGTAACACCTGCAGTGTACAGCAAAGAAGAGGCAAATCAAATCTAGCAGTCTGGTTTTAAACCAAGTCAGAGCATTGCTACAAAGAGTAGAATTGGTTAATTAGTAGGGTTTCGTCAGCAAAGTTAATTTAATTTGAAGAATTGCTTGTCTAGTGTCTTTGAGGAAACTTTGAGAGGTGTGGGACTTTCACAGAGTATCGCTATTTGGATTAATATGCTTCATACAAGATGCAGTTTTAAAATCTACARTTTTGGTACAAAATTGGTAACACACATGTTGAAAAATCTGAGGATTTTAAGTGATAAAAGTCTTTTCCCATTCTTTATTGGTTTTTACGGATTAATAAACTTTTTAGGCCTAAAGAGTTTGTTAGCTCTAACTTTTATTGAGCTTGTTGCTGTGTTGTGTGTTTGGCTCTTCTTCTGGAGCGGTTTTTACTTTTTTGTTAAATGCTGTTACAAGGTGCTGGATTGGATTAAGTGTGTTTGAATCAGTATGCAAGAGGGCAGGCATTGATCAGTTGTCTCTAACATTACAAAATCTGCCCAGTACTAGATACAAAAGCACACTATTTGAATTCCTTAACTATTCCCTAACGCACAGTTATCTCTTAAACATCCGGCATGGGTTGAATGTCACTAGGTAGAAGGCATGTTTTTATGAAAAACAGTAAGGAAGATGAAAACTTAGAGTAACTTTAGAGCTGACTTTCCAGTCTGCCTGAGAAATGTATGTATATCTTGTGTTCTTCGCCCCTTTGGCATGAAAAATAGCTGCCAGCAAAAGACATTAAAAAAAAGTTGTCTAGTAACTACAGACTATAAACATGTCTCAACACCTTTCTTTTGTTATTGGAACTCACTAAATATTGGAAATGAAATTGCCTTGAACTTAACGTTCTGTATGATCTTCCTGCCTGCTCTGTCCAGATGTTTTTGATTCTGCTTTTAGCTTTTGGGTGGGCTTGACAAAAAAAAATTGAGCTCTTTCATTTTTGATGTAAGAAGGGGCAGGAAGGGGGACCTGCCACTCTGAGATACCAGCAGACAGTAAAGCCTTCAGGGTGACACAGTGGCCCCGTTGCCAAGAAGTCTTATCAAACATAGTGGGACTCCAGTCTTGACTAAGTGTTTGCACCACTGACTTAATACGCATAAAAGGTATTTGAATTCTCATTCAGAGAATTCTTCCAACAGAGCATCTGTTCATRTTACAGTCAGATGGAGATGGTATGGTCAACCTTACTCATTTCAAGCAYGTCCTTTTAATAGCTGGCAATGGAAATGTTACTTTTCTCTTTTGGTTCTTCATCAGACCAAAAATTAACTTCTTTTTCCTATTATCTCTTCTCCATATGCTTCATTGGCTCTCATTTCTTTAGTTAGAAAATGGGTGCATACAGAAATTAATTATAAGATTTAAATGTTGTCAGTGGATACTGTAAGAGAAGTGCTTAATTTTTGTAGTTTGAACTCTACTGAACGTCTGTGTTTCAAAGAAGGAGTTAAGGGAGGATTGTTGAAGGGCATTAAAAGAGATTTAGAAAAATTTTTGGAACACTTACATCAGTCCACATAGCAAATGCTCAAATGTGGAAAAGGAGGTGTTTCAACTTAAAAACTTAGAATGAACTTAAGGATTCATTCTCATATATCTACACCTATACCTTTTTATCATTGTACAATAAAGAGAGTGACTGAACAAAGCTTGTATTCCATTTGACTTTGCTGTAATTCTCTGTGTGTGATTTAATTTTTAAATGTGAAGATTCAGCTCTGTTCCTTAATGAAGTTCAAGGCAGTTGGTTTTGGTGGAAGCAAGGTTAGGCAATGGGACTCGTTTCCCTTCATTCCCTACCATCATGTGGTAGAGTGTCTCTCACTTACCCAGTCACATAACTGGAAATAGAAAGGRTATTGCAGGGTTTCTTAATCACATGCAAATTCCATTCATGTGCCCAAGTTTTCAGGGAAGACTTAGAGGTTTAAATTTACAGACCCTGTTAGTTTCAGTAGGAGCTGTGTGACTAAAATCCTCTGARTTAGTTTTGAATTAAAAAAAACAAACAGCCCAACCTCCTGGCACATCTAGCTCATTTTTAGGACTGCATTGACTGATAAATTCTTCTGGCAAAAGTTGAGGATGCTGGTGAATGAGAAAACAAGAGCCATTGAGTTCATCTAAGGTATTGCTGCTCTTTACAGCCTCAGAACAGGTCTGGGAGACATGGCTGGGAGAAGTGTGATACGCCTTCTATCCAGATTCATAGCTATAAGGCATTTTTAAATGTGCCTGCAGAACTAATCTGGGGAAAGTATGCAATTTGGACTAACTTTACCTTTTGACAAGGTTGAGCAGTGCTGTGCAGGACATAGTGTTCTCATGTTTCTCTGATGCTTATAGGTAAGCACATACAATTAGTCACTACAAGTGTAGCTTTGACAGGTTGGGATTAAAACCTACAAATTAATCTCTTTGATTKTTTTTCTCATTTCACAGACACTACTCTYCCCTGAATAGAGATGGCGGAAATCAATTCTCCTGTAAATATCAAGGAAAAGGTAGGTTCAAGCAACAGTATAATGCAAGCCAAAATATATTTGCATATATATTTCATTTTTGCTCTTTCCAACACTGTTGGAACTTTAATATGTACTGAACTTTAATATGTATTGACTTTGTGCATGAAGTTAAGTACACAGACAGGTATTGATAGGACTAATCTGAATCTTGCTTGACAAGTAGCATTTTTGCTTTTTTTTGCAGAGAGACTGTTTTGTCAGCTAGTCTTTTCTTACTCCTTTGTAATCCCTGTGCACACTGATGCTGTGGAGAATAGCACCTTGGGATGATTGCTGCTGTACAAAATGCAACCTTTGAAGAAACATGCCCTTTAGAAAATAATTTTTCCGCCCAAAAATGTTATACCTGTAATACTTAMAGCAATTCCTAAAATTGCAGGACCTGAAAAGAGTAGATCACTTTATGCTGTGACAGTATGTTTGTTTTTAACTACATTCCATGCAYTTGAGTGAGTCTTCTCCATATCCTTGGCTAGAGCTAGAGCCTCATCACCCTTTCAGGAGCAGTAAAAGACCTAAAGCTAAGTAGGATATGAGGTGGGTCAGCAGATCTTTTGTGACTCTCAGCAGGTGCATTGTGGATACACATTCTAACCAAAGAATGCACTTTTCTCTATATCTCCTTACAGGAAACAATTCCTTACCTGATGCACTGCCCAGGTGCCTGGTTTTTGAGYAGTTTTACCTTATATTTGTTCTTAACATCTCAATTGCTCACTGTGTTTGAGGATTTGCATGTCAGTATGAATCTCTGTTTTGATGATGAATATCTGCCTTAGTCTTTACTAATAGTACAGGGTTTTAAAAYTGAGTGGCATGATGATTTTGCAATGGAAAGTAATGTCATCAAATTATTTTCCCCGGTGCCAGAGTGCTCAAGCTACAATAATTCTCAAAATATAACTCAGCAGGTCAATTTAAGTTCTGCATATTTACTGTGTAAATTTTTTATTTAAGTGAGTTTTAYAGGTGCAGAATTTTACAAACATGGGTTTGTCTCCTTCAAGTTTAAGMATGAAGAACTGCAACATGCTAGATATCTTCTCTTCCAGTGTGGGATCTGCTGGGAGTGTCCAAAATAAAATGTTTATGAGCATATGCATTTTAAGGCAGGAAAATAATTGGATCAATACAATCTGTTATAAATTGTTCCACTCTTTATTCCTGTACCTTCCATCAGTATTTAGTGCCACTAAATCTCTATGCCAAATTGAAAACTTAGTTTAATAGCAATTAAAATTCTTTTCAAAATCACTGGGGTTTATTCTGGAAAATGGAGATTACTAACCTACTAAGTAGAGGGTTAGTGACCAAATGGCATAAATCTCATGCAGTCTACATACATCAGCTGAGGTGGTGTTGTGCTCATTGAGCCACTGCACCTGGACAAGTCTGTCTTGTTTGAAAAGGATTGCAATGGCTCCATTTGGTATCTTATATTTGGTTTATAGTGTGGTCAGCAACAGCCTGACTGACTATAAAGTGACTGTAGCTTCAGAACCTGTTGGGTGATGCACTGGAACTATGAGGAAGGGCTTGAACGAGCAGGTCCTGCTGAGCTCCTTTGATTATATTTGCACATAAACTGCTAAAACATAAGGATTTCATTTGCATGTTTGAAAAGCAGCCATATTTACAGTGTACTGCTAAGAGATTCAAAATCACATCCCTTTTTCACTTAGCATACACAGCTTACATGGTCATGCTACACAACATGTTTACTTTTATCCACCTTCTGGGAGGCAATATTTCTGGGTAAGAAAACCAAGGTTTAAAAATATAATACTTCTGCTGAGCTCTACAAATCCATTGCAGTCAATGTAAATTCGAGCAGTCCTTGTTTAAAGTAACAGAATAGAGTGCAGTTCCTTTCCACCTCTCCCTTTCTTCTACCTTAGTGCTTGCAGATCATARTGTATTTAGGACTTTGATCTTGCTAGAACTTGCACGAAGCTGAAGAAGCTGCACAGCTGCACACAAATACTTACTCATGTAACTTACTGCAAAAGTAGCACCCCCAAGTTTYTCCTTAAATTGAAAGTTGTTTCGTTGTGACAAAAATGTAGTGCAGATCCCATGCAGATTTCAGCGTGTTTGTTCTTTTGTTTTGTGGGTTGTGGTTTTGGTTTTGGTTTGTTGAGTTTTTTCTTGGGGAGAGGGGTGTTGTTTGGGATTTTATTCAGTGGTGAGCTTTCCGTGTTTTCTCCATGATCAGCTTCTAGTCATTCAAGAAAGTAAAACCTCTGCCACTGTTTTAAAAGTGRTGTGATGCCAAGGCAGACATTTTGGGCATTGCACTCACACCCAGGCTCTGTAAAGCCCTACCCCTGAATTTGAGTCATAAGAGAATGCTACTGTGGTAATGATACTTGTATAATTCATTCCTGGCATTTCTGCTGAAATAGTTCATCAAGTCAATAGGTTAAACATTCCATTTTATATCTTCTTTTTTCTCCCCCAAGAGATTTATATAAATGTTGGCCTGTGATGTTAGGAAGGCTAATGGAAGTTTCCATAGTTGGCAGAGACTCCTGCAGCTGTGATACTCTTGTGGGGAGCCAGGACTGTTTCAATTTCCATTTTTTCATGCATATAACCACAGATTTTTGTGGAATAACTAAAGTTCTGCATTTCAGCAGACACAGAAGTCATTAATTGCCTGTGTAACTAGTATAAGAAGAAGTTTACCATCAGGATCTCTCTCTCAGGCCCTGACCCTTGCTGTCATCTTCCTTTACTATGCCACTCTCCCTCTTGCCTCAGATAACTWTTATCTCTGTGCCTGAAAATACAGGATGAGTAAGGACTTATTTTTTGTRTCAGGATTTTCAGAGACTGAGTGTTATACATAGTTCAGATCATATGCACAAAAGTTCACTGGATTAAAGTATAAAATGAGCCAAACTCATTGGCTTACATCCAAAATCCATAAAATTAAAGGAGGTATTCAAGCATTAACCTAGTGCATCACTAGAAGAGGTGCTGAGATTCTGAATTACAAGGSTTCCAAAGAAGAAGCAATTGGAGTGAGGAATACAAGTGATATGTTGTCTCCTGCAACAATTAGGCCCTCTTAGTTTAACCAGAGAAGAGTGAATATSAGGCACTCTCCAGGATAACCATTCAGCTCTGGCATGTGACTTTGGTTTTGATCCGAAGAAATATCAGGAATTGTTTAAACTTCAGGAYTTGCTTTTGGGCCCATCTTTTTTCTTTTTTTAATTTGCTGTGTGTCTAAACATGTTTGAGCAAGTGAGATCTGCTGTCAGCTGGAATTAGCAAAAGACACATTCAGATGAAAATTCTCCTTTTGAGATTCTGTTAAGAGTGAAGTTTTGCTGAAGTTCTCCTGAAAGGCTTGCTTTCTCATTTGTCATTTCAAGTGTCAGAGCTGGAGAAGCAGATGGGCAGCCCTGCAAAAAGGAAATTTTATTCAGATGTGGTTTTGGAGGTTTCACAGTTTTGTTGCGTTACACCATAAATGTGGTTTTCATAAGCAATAGTCAGCGTGCAAGGAAAGAGTAGTATTCAGAGTGGAAGGAATCAAAGTAGTATGTAAATTTAAAACTATGCATTACAAAAGCAGATAGTTTCCAGTCTGTGATTTTACTTTCTCCTTAAAGTTGTTCTTTGCAGCTGTTTTTTGCCCATGTGTTGAAGTAGATGCRCTGTTCAAAGACTGGAAAAGTTGATCAAAATACAGTTAAGGATAAGGGTTAAGGATATCACAGCCTCAATGGCRTTGTCATCACTCAAGCAGAACAATTCTTATTAAGCTAAACTTTTTAGGAATCCTGAAAACATATCTGGCTTTCTATCTGATGGATAAGGATGAAACAATAAATCCATGACAAGTACCTAAAGAAGTTTACTGCAGTAGAACTTTCTGGGGCTTACTAGGAATAAATGATTGGAAGGTATCAGGGTGATGARCAGATCATATTAGCAGAAAGAGAGGCACAGACCTGATCAAAGTGTCATTTTRCTCAAAGGGTGTGTTAGCAACACTTGTTCAGTTTGTCAGGATGAACTTAGTAAAGCTTCTGGAAAAATGTGTCAAATGTGAGAAATAGCCTCTTAATGCAACCAACTCAAATTGTATTCATGAAATAAATTTATGTAGAAGTTCAAAACGTTCTAAAACAATCTACCATTAAGTGGTTTTAAAATGCATTTTCKTGCTTAATGTAGCCAGGACATGTGCTAATGCTAAATTCCTAGGTTATCAAAACCAGCAGTGTTCTGCAGGCAGCCCTCCTTCCCTTCTTTGCTTGCAGGRTTTGGGAAGAATTGGAGGTGTAATGTAGTTGGATGATGTATATGTGTACATAAAAATTTGCTACTGACATGCAGTAAAAATAAAGTAGGAAATGCCTGTGGTAATTGATAACCATACTTACAAATTAATTCAGTTTCTAACTTAAAGAAAATATGTTGATCTTAGTCTTTAGTGCAAAGTCAAGGTGAATCTGCATTAGTTTTCCTAACCAAGCATAAATAAGAATATTTTTCTGTCTAAGTGACCATAATAGTGACTTACTTTGAGGGGATTAGAGCAGCTGTTTTCAGAGGTTTCAGAACAGCCATGAGCTTTCAGCAAAGAAGTTTAATTTGTCACTATGTCAGAAATACATAAACAAACTCTCTGAACCCCGGATATGTTACTTATTCACCAGAAACATCCTCTTTGAGATGATGCCAAGGGGGACCAGATGGAGCAGAGCAGCAAACAGGCAGTGATTGAGTCCATGTTGTTACAGTTGTCTGGGAACCGTTTGGTACTTGACAGAGAGCATAAAGGATTKAGAGGAATGCACAGCACTGTCATCTTGGTTCTGCATGTGGGATAGGTAATCRGGTGTCACAACTTCCAGGCAGGCTCTGTTTCTTTTTGAGCTTGGCTTCCCAGGAAAGTCTTGTGAGATGGATGTTTGTGAGGACTTTGAGTAAGCTACCATGAGAGGGTAGAATTCACTGTTCTTTCTTGTGTACGATATTCCTCAGAAGTAACCTGTTATTGATTCATTTAATTTTTTTTTTTTTTTTTAGGTGAGTCAAAAATTTACCCCAAGTGAGATGTTTAACAGTAATCATTAGAAAAATAGACCTTGGGGATTTTATTGTGAAGTAGAAGCTTATCTGAGGGGACTTGAAATCTTTTTCAATTTTGATACTACTTCTGGGCAGCCTTCARCTTTTTCTGTATGACACAGATAAACACATCCTCATGACTGTGRAGTTCTGCTCCTGATGAGACATAATCTGGCTCAAATTGCAGCAAGCATTAACAAGACTTGAGCTCTGGGTCATGGGTTTAAATGGAGGTGGACCTGGGTTCTGTCTTTCACATTCTTGAGTGTACACAGTTGTTTTCAAGATCACAGCTTTGTATTTTTGATTTGTGATTGCTTTAAAGAAGCTTTTGTAGGCTGAAATTCTGGGAAAGTTTTCTTAGTAGTAAACAAAGTAATGTGCTTTCCTGTTAGGCTACAGGAGGGAACGTCCAGGAATTTAACTACTGTCAGTGACAGATTCCYAGCTAATGCTGACATTAATAACATTAATTATGTGGTTCTCAAGGTATGTTACTGAATCCTCTTGGTGTCCTGGAATGCTGTCTAGCATCCAGATGATGACAGAAGTTCACTGGGAATTTACACTGGATAAAAACAGGATGTTTCACAAAATCATTAAAATAATTGACTTCCCTGTAGTCTGTCTGGTAATGTTCTTTCTCCTGTGATCAGGTTTCACTTAGTAGGAATTTTTTTTTTCTCCCACATATATGGAAATCTAATAAAGTAGACTGCTGAGATAACTTTCACAGACRGGTATTAATGCAGTACCATTGTGTGGTAAGAAATTCTTTTGCTCTGGTACTTTCTTTCATCCTTTGGGATGCTAAATATTTTTTAAAGGAATTTGGTGATGAGAAGTCATGATTTTCTTATTATTATAGTTACATAATGTTGCTTACATATTGAGAAGATGGATGTTCTTGGTGAGTTTGAGGACTATAAGYTTAGAGAGAGAATGTTAGGATTTACTCCTGCCCTGGAATCATCCTGTCACACCTGTAATAAAAATGATTGTATTAATTAGGCTTATGCTGTCAGGAAGTTTCCTAACCCTGGCTTTGGCTTTTTCTTTTGTATCACTACATCCCTTTCCAGAAAGAAATGAGACACGTTTTGCATGAGAGGACAGAGCTGAGCTTCAGACCTAGAAATCTACACATATATTTGAAATTTGGGTTAAAGGACTGAGAGGTAGAATGTCAGGGACCTTGAAATTTGCATTTCTAGRTAAAGGCTGTCATATAGCCTGGTTTCCCTTTATATACCTTATCCTCCCACATAAACTGTCAGGTCACAATTTGAGTCTTGTAAGCATGTATTGATAATTTCAGTCCAGAAATTGCTGACTTTTTCATTGCCTGTGTACACCAGGTCCAGTGTATTCTGGATTAAAACATTGGTCAAACAGTGCRTATGTTGTAGACCTGATGTCTGGCACACTGGTCTTTGTCTTCAAAATTCCAGAAGAARTATGACAACATGATGCCATTTTGTTCCTAAAAATCTACAAGACAAATCTGAAAAAAACTTTTTGGGATCTCTGCTCTGTTGGAATTACTGGGTTAYATCTGCTTTTGTTGTTTCCGAATTAAGATGGTTAAATATATGTATGTGTGTGTGTGTATGTTTGTATTGATATTGATGTATCCTACTGGTTGCAAATTCTAGTTTTCATCTTCTCAGCCATGTAAATCACTGTAAAAATCTGGAAAGGAGAAACACTAACTTACAGGTATCCTGGGTATCACAGCATACATACACAAGAGAAGCAGATTRAAAAAGTCTAAGCAACTTCTGATTTGGGATTTCCTTTATCTTGGATGCTTTCCTTTGCAATCYGATGTTCTTTTCCTGAACAATTCTTTCATTAAAAGTCTCAAATTTTTTATATTTTCCAAATAGAAAGATAAATGTATTTTCTGTACGAGTCAAGAAGAAATATTGTTGGGTTTTGGCAGTAGAACTGTTGAGCTTTACAGTACATTAATTCCCTAAATCAGTTCTTTAGTAGTCCAACTAAATCAGGACTGTGTCCACAGTATTGTCATATGCTTAATTTCTTTTCTCTGTACTATTGGCTGTTTTCCTAATCATCATCTTGGTTTTTTTGGGTTTTATCCACAACTAGAATGTTTCCATAACCTTTTTTTATTTAATTATAATACTAGTTGGATGAAGCACAGTTTAGATTTTAATTCTGATTTTTCTGTAATCAAAAAATTTTTAACAAAGACTACACAGTGCAAATARAAAGTCTTCAGTTGATTTTGTAGTCAAAAATAGTCTCCTTGGTTGATGTTCTCCATGTTCAATGTTCTCCACCCCACAGATGTTCTTCTTGCCTTTAAGCTTCCAAACTGCACTGTGTGGCTAGCTGCCTGATCCTCCAAGTGAGGTCTTAKCCTCCCTTGATTGTTTCCAGATGCTTCTTGAGGCTTGCAGACCTTTCATGGCAAAATAGGACCTAGAAACCGTGTGAAATCCTTATGCCTAAAGTTGGTTAGAATACTCTAGATATTTCTTTTACTGTTTTTCCTGTAAGCAGTTACCACAAGGAGATTATGCAATTTTGAGTAGGCAGAGAGATGATCCATATTATTGTGAAAGAAGAGGGGAGTTTTTTTGTGAGCATACAGAGATGTAATCCACATGGTGAAAATGTTTGGGAACTACCAGCTTGAACACAAAATGGACTTCAGCTTGTAGCCTGCTCTTAGKATCTTTGCCAACTTTTATTATGGAGCCAGCTCAGTTCACACTTGTTGCAGGTTTATCAGTTAATAGCATGCCTGTGCCCACAATCATTAGACTAATTAACTTCTTTTTCCAGTGCTTTCTCTTCACATCCTATTGATTTAGGTTAGTTTTCACTTGGCTGCCTGCAGTACATTGCAGAGAGCTGTACTCATTACTTCCTTCCCCATGCATGCACATCAGCTGAAGAGAGAAACTTGAGCAGACAGGGGATTTTCTGGATAGTTTCTGGCAACAACAGCCTCTGGTTCAAGCAGKCCACTTGTCAGCCTAGTCTGTATGAACTTCACCCAAAAGTTACTCATGTGGAGTAGATATTCCAGAGTAGCCTCTGTTGGCTGGGGCCGAGCTTGTGAGCAAGCCTGGCTCAGTCAGAGCATGGCAACATTGGACAGACTGTGAGAYAGGCCTTTGGGAAAGAGTCCTTGGGAGGGGGACAAGCACTTGAACTCCACTGCCTTSTAAATAATGTGCTGGCCTGGGCTGTCCAAGGCTGGACTTGCTACCTGGAAAGTGTTGTGAGTAAATATGAAACTGCAGAGAGGAGTGTGATGGGATGATGGACAGGAGCAGAGTAAATCATCCTRAGTAGCTGTACTAATGTGTGCTGAAGCCAAGTATCAGCCTTTTGCAGTTCTGTAGCTGAGTCCAGCAGGCATCAGGAATCTGAGCCATCCATCGCTGTGCATTGAGAGAACATGCCACGATTCCTGGTTTATGGTAGCACACAGGACAGGGAAACAGTGCTTGAGGAGTGGAGTGAACATACTACAGCAAAATAACATCTTTTGGTCAAATCTGAGCTCTTAAGTGTTCTCAGTCACCTTCTGATGTCTCTATGGATGAAGATGTCATAAAGATTGTCCTTCAGTATCTAACTGAACAGCTGAGACAAGGTGGTATGAATGCTTTTCCTGCAGGAACCAGCGTAGTTCCTTTAAGCAGCTTCTGTCTTCCTTTTCACAATTATATTTTACAGTRTGAAAGATCACACTTTATACAATTAGCATGATGATACTGGGATGCAGTAAATGAAGTACACCCTCATCAAGGATGTATTCCCACAGAAAGACGTTAAAGGAGGGTGCCAGATAAACGTTTGCAGGACAGTAACAAGTTTCTAATTGTAAATACATGCTGGATATCTTGACACAGAAGCTCAGAAAGCAAATTTGGAACAGTTGAACTGGTTTGGCAGAGTCTCCCATTTTTTTCAGAGTATTATTATAGACTTTTGTTTTGTTGATTATGTTTAATTTTCTTTTTGCCTGATCTAGTAAAACTTTCTTAGCATTAAAATAAAATAGCAATGAAGTTTCATGTAACTATTTGCCTTCAGCTATAGTACATAGGCATGAGAAAATAAATTATCAGTGTGATTCTAGTGGGAATATTTTATTAAAACATCATGAATTGAATTCCATTTGGTATCAATGGATACTGACACTACAGCAATAGTAAATGCTGTGAAATTTAAGCATGGCATRCCAGAGTAATCTGTGGGTGTAACACCTCATTCATCAGCAGTTTCCTGAAGGAAGCATTTGGCATCCCATGTCCTTTGTTCAGAATTTTGTTACACAAGCTTCATCACTTGCGTACGCAACAGCAAACTGAAATTATGTTGAGCAGCCACTAGAACTTTTAAAAAYGATAATGTTTTCTTGAGACTGTGGCTGTTTTCATGCATATGACTGTTTTTCAGATGCCAAAAATGCCACCAATCATAACTTTGATGTGGCAAGGCCATGCAAGAGCCTTGTTGACTAAGTKTGTGTAGGTGATCTGTTGAGACCCATGGCAGCAAATAATTARGAAAGAAGCATAAGGCCAAATTGTGTCAGTTGAATTAAGCTAGTTCTTCTGCTGTGACTGAGGATAGGACTTGTTTCCAGGACTACTGGGTACCAGTTCTATGATTCTGTGTCCTGAAGAAATCCTTTCATTATTTGCATGGCTGGATAAGGATAGGATGGGTATTGCTTTGTACAGATTCATTGTTGTGTGCTCACAAGTCTAAAGGAGTATGATAAATTCATATGTCATTGTCTTCTTTTACTTACAGATCAATGCAATCCGATCAATTGTTCCAAACAAAAGCAATAATGAGATTGTTCTGGTGTTGCAGCAATTTGATAACAATGTAGACAAGGCAGTTCAAGCTTTCATGGATGGTAAGTACAGTGTACCTTTTTCACTAATCCAAGAGGGATCCAACCACATGCCAAAGTGTTTGTCTCTAGTGCCTCAAAATATATTCTGTAGTTATTCTGAAATCTGATGTGACACTTATTAATTATAAAAAAATTGATCTACCTGTCTGCAYCTTTGCTTTCTTCACAGTAAAAGTTTGATATGGCTGTTCATCKGTTCTGTCTGATTTTGCCATTTTTGAAACCATTTTTATTGCAGACCTCCTTCTTTATTCTGCATGAAAGTCAATGCTTTTGAAAGTAATATGTCAGGAAATTAGTCTTGAAATACTGTTGAAAATTCAGTAACTAAGAACAATTTGAGATAGTTCTGAAGCAGATAACCAGGCCCCTAAACCCCTGAATTTGATGCATATATTGACATTCAAACCTCAATCTGAATTTTGCAAATAGCCTTGACATTTATAATGGCTGAACCAAGACTCCGTTGAAAGTTCAAGCCATTTAAACCTGGATCCACCTTTGTATTTTTCGTCATGAGACTGTCTCTAATGAAAGGTCACTTGTATTTAAATAACACTTTCCTGATAAATATATAAAGTCAAGTATTTTGAACTTTCAGCAGAATCTGTGAGAAACCCTTTGCAGAAGTAATGGCATACCATAAGCAAATCTTTTCAAAATCTTTGTATCTTGGGGTTACATAAATTATATTAGAAGTTCAGTGGTCTTAAAGGGCCCTGTATATCTTTAAAATGCCTCATTTTTGCTATCTCAGTGAGTTGTTTAATTCATGGCTATTTTACTTAATATTTTTGAATTTGATTTGGTTTGGATTAACTTACTAAAATAYACCAGCCAAAAAACATCATCATATACTAGGAATTACCAATATGCAAAAAGCAGATGCAAGCAAACTGGACTACTTATGAATATATCAAAATTCTTCCATCAGATCTTTATGGTTCTTTTTGACTGGGCAGCTGCACAGACAGTTGTATTCTGATGGATGTATGGAAATTACGTTTGTGCACATACACAGAAAAAGGAAAGTATGAAGCATCTAATTAACAATAACTTTGTATTCCTGGGGAAATGTATATCCTGGAGAAGGTAGTGGAGAATTGTTCCATGACTATTCAGTAAGTTACTTTCACTTTATTTTGTTTTAAGTTACTTTTGCTTGCTTGTGGTTSATGAATGGCTCCTCAAAAGGGGAAGTGCTTTCACAGCCATGTGTCATCACCTGCTGTGAGGAGGAAATAGGGCAAACACAAGCCTTGCAAGAAGTGCAGCTAAATCACAAAGAAAAGCAAAGCTGATGTACCCAAGTTCAGACAGTTTTTGAACTTCACCATTCAGGATTACTGTTCAGAAGTCTTTGTGAGGGAGCATTTGAAAATAGCCAAGACTTGTTATTGCATGGAAAAAGTGTGAGAAGACATGCATCCATGCAGCTGTCACTGTGGATGGAACAAATAGTTGAAATATTTTTTCACATGAATGACAAAAAATTGCTAAGTTTGAAATAACACTCACAGAATGGTCCTGCAATGAAAAACATAGAGTTGGCCTTGCTGAATGGAAAGGCTGAGTGCCTCCATGCACTGCTTCTCTCAGAGGTGTTGCTTGCTGAATGAAGAAATGTTCAAATTGAGTTTTGTGTCTTGCCTCATATCTGGAGTGGCATTTAGGTGATGTCTCTGTTATGATTTTAATTTATATGTGAAATTTTATTTAAATGAAAGGGAGTTCAAATGTTTTATTTGCTATGTAAGTGTTKATCTAATTGAGCATAATCAGAAAGTCTGTTTCGCTGCCTTGTAGATGTGTTCATGAAGATATACTGGTGGGTTCAAATGAGGGCTTTGGGATTTGTTCAGTTAGTGCATTTCCAATAGGAAGAAACAGAGGTTAGTTGGATGGATCTCTAAAGTAACTCTCCCTCAAGTATGTGTGTAACTAAATATAGATAAATAAACATACATGAAATAAAAGTTGTCTTAGCCTTCTTAGTCTGCATCGTCACATCGTCTAGCAAATAAAATGATTTTGAAGATTCCATGCACATTTTTTCACAATGTAACAAATTTGGCTTAGCAATGCTAGCAAGATATGTAATCTTTCCTACTGTGTGTGACAGGCTCACCAGATAATCTTGGATCTGGTTTATTGTGCTAAAAAATAATTTTGGTACATCTGAAAAGATCACATGTCTTTGAATACAAGTTGACGATTCATGGTGGTCTGAAAACAGCACTACTTAATACTAGTGTCAAGATTTCACTGAAAGGAGTGAGAAGAATGGCTGAGTATGAATTCCACTTGGAAAGTCTAATAAATGAGTATTTACTAGATTTGCGAAATAATGGTAAAGTGATTATTAAATTCAATCAGAAGACTTTTAACCTGATTGTGATTAAAAATATTATTGTGGCAGATACTGCCATAGTAGTTTGGATGGCAATTCAGACTGCATGCTTACCRAGAGTATATTATTTTCAGCATTAGAGTCCAGAAGAACAAAATTATGATGTTAACTAAAAGCAGTAGAGTTTTCTTCTGACATAGCATTAGGCACTAGTGTAACCAAGGCTTTGCCTGCTTTGTTCCATAGATTTATCTAAGCAACTCATTATGGCTGACGGGCAGAATTTCAAGTATAACTGTAATTACTTCTCAATTTAATTTTTTATCATTTTTTACCAGGCTTAAATTTACTGCATTTGTGTGATGCAGATTGTATGCAGGAGTCCACAAAGTTACTCTTTCGGATGTTGATTAAGTCTTTACTTTTTATGCTTTTATGTCTTTTGAAGATGTCAGGTAACACGTGGATAAAATGCCAAAAGTTCTGAAAACTTTCTGATGCTCTAGAATCAGGGTGGACTATCARGTGTACTCAGTATTGACTCTGGGGTGCTGAGATACTTTCCTCTTCAGGCAAGAGATTTGAGTGTCGATTTTTCTGGGTCTCATGCTAGTTTTTTAAGTTAGGCACACAATCACTTTGTGCAGTGAAGTCCATAAAAGGCCAGTAGTGCTGAGCAGACCATCCACTCTAAGTCATGGAATCAAACCAGGTAACTGAGAAGAAGGGCAGCAGTGTCCATTTTGTTCTCCCCAGATAAAAGAGTTCACAGCAAATTTGATTGCTGCTCAGGATACGAGAAACTGATTGTGAACATGCTGTTTCTTTTTCATAGCTGAACTTYTGCTGAAATGTTTTATCTTTTCTTTCTCTAGGCAGTGCAACTCAGGTTTTAAAGGAATGGAATATGACAGGGAAAAAGAAGGTAAGAACTTGCTCTTGAGAATGAAGGCATTTAAATCACTTATCAGCTGACTATACTTGAATTGTAGTACTTTTCTTTTGGTCACTATTTGGCCTTTTCCAGCACAGATGACTTCATTCACACCTGTAGACATGCATGAAAGCAAATGTGTGTACTATTTTTAATCCTATTTCTTAGTCACTGTTTACTAAGCCCAGCGTTCTGAGTGAATTTCTGGCACAGCACCTGTGTATGGGAGCCAGACCCTGGACAAGCACAGGAGAAATCCTGAAGAAACAATTTTAATAAGAAACTGTATCCTGGATAGTCACAGCCACTTTCAGTGCTCAATTTACTGATTGTATTTTGAGTTTGTATGATTTTCATGGAGTCATGTGTCTCTTCATGTGATATTTCTCCATTTAGAACAACAGGAGAAAAAGAAGCAAATCTAAACAGCACCAAGGTAACAAAGATCCTAAAAACAAGAACGGTGGACCTGACAAGGCATCYCAAGAGCCTCAGCGAATAAATGACTGTCATATGAATGGGTGCCCTAAGGACAGCTCTGGCCGTGGTTCTGCCAGTCAGAAACCTGAAACCACTTCTTTTGAGAGCAAAGGCTCAGGATTTGTAGGGTCAGCATCGGACTGTCCAGAAATCAGAGGTGAGTTCATCTGACAGAGAGCACCTTTTTAACTGGCAATAGCCAAACCTTCATTGACATAAAGGTTATTATATTTTTATTGCCATGAAGATGTTGTAGAGRTGTTTTTATGAAAAATAATGCACATAACTATTAAAGTCAAGCCAGTAGATCTATATCTGCACACTATTTATCTCTCAATATGTTTCCTTGCAAAGTGTCTTTCTTTTTCTAGAGACAGCCCAGCTGATACAGAATATTATAGTACAAATATGGAAGAGTACAGGGGTAGAAAATGGCTTGAGTGTCAAATTGTTAACCAAAAGATTAAGTCCTTCATGTGGGCAAAGATGTCTGAGCACTATGAGCTTATGGTATATTACTGGATTTCTTTATTTCTTAGTCCAAACTAGTCCATTTTTTCTTTCTCATCTTCCCTACACAGGCAAGTTACAGTAGATCTCCCTTTGTGTCCTGGCAGGGCACTCTGATAGCCTTTGGTACGTGCACATTTCTCATAGGATCTCGTTACCATTTCTGAAGCTGGGAGGGGCAGTAGCACAGAAAGTTCTTCCTCACTGTGGTAAATAGGGAGTTATGACTATAGCAACATCAGTGGGAACAAACTTGCTCCTMTGGGGCAGAAGCTTTGTGAAGGCTTTTGCCTATAAGTTCATAAAGCTCATATTTAATCGTTGACTTTACTGCTGGAGTTTCTTCAGCTCTTCATGTTTCAGACATCTGACATGACCCAAATGGATTATTGCTGCTGTTAGTATTTTCTTCCTATGCCTTAAATACTACATTAAAATAACTTTCCTTGAAATCTGTTTTCCCATGGATGCAAATACAGCTCTCAAGTCTCATTTTAAAGAAATGTTCCAAAGGAATGATTGTCTGGAAATAAATTATCTACTGCTTTTGGATTACTTCAGTGGTGCCAGCCTCTGGTCAATTAAATGAAGGCTATGCAAYCTACAGCAGCCAAACAAACCACTTWGCAAGAAATTTTGTCCTAAAAATTTGATGCCTCACAAAGGACCGGAGATGCATTTCATGCCCTTGCTACACTCCCACTTCCCTTGGGATAAAATATTCCACAAGCCAGAAAATCCTGCATTTCCATAATACTAAAAACATGTTTGCCACTTACTCAGCAAGAAGCAAACATTTGTGGTATAAATCAGACTTAAAGTGGCATTTTTTAAAATTATATGTGCACAAATAAACTTAATTGTTGACTTAATTGTATATGCATGGGGAGTGTTTTCTAGGGGGCAACAAATGCAAGAAGAATACCCATGCTATTAGTGATCTGTTTCTGGGTCATTGTAATTGAATCCTGCCTTTTTCTCTTTGAAACAGTTAAGAGTTAGTTTAGTTGTACAGATAAAGGCCAAAAAGTGTAGTGCAATTTTTCTTTGCTTTTGCAAGTGGCAAATGAGAAATTACCATAGCTTTACAATTTTTTTCAACTTATACATATCTCCCATTTCAAAAACAAGATGGAGAGGGGGAGCTATAAAAAAAGGCGGAAAGGAAAGGAAAGGGGAAAGGAAAGGAAGTAGAGACAAAGGAGAGCCTGAAATTTTAATATTCAAGTTTCCCTTACATAATAAAATAATTTTCTGGCAACATTTTTAATGGAGAGAAGGAAATAATTTCTTCACTTTCAGTGAAGAGTATCCTTTTCTTTTCAGTCAGTGTAAAAATTACTTTCTTAGGGTCAAAATCCACCTATGTTCGTATTGTTAGATTTGTGCTGAAGTGATCAGGATCCTTCTGGGAGCAGCAGCTGTGCCCTTATGGTTTCTGGGCAAGTCAGACTATTCTAAAGCAGAGTGAAATGCTAAAGTGAGTCCAAAGCACATCTGTTTCATATTGCCTCTCTTGTGTGATAATCTCCTTTGTATTGCCCTGTCTGGCTTGTTTGTTTTGGTTCCTTCCCTGTGAGATGAATGTTACTGTAGTCATTCCACCATCCCCTTCAGAAGGCTCGCAGCTTAGAAGGATCATAGGTGTTTGTTGAGAGTCCCTAATAGTTTTCTCCCCATGAGAAACATGAGATTGAAGCTTTGCCTATACCAGCYCCTAGTCTGTGAGATTAGGACTTTCAGAGCCATAAAATCCTGGTGGCCTGGAACGGACTTCAGAAACCAGAAGGGAGGATGCAGCGTTTTTCCCTAGAAAATTAGCAGGGGGAAACATATGGCTGKTGACTTCAGGTCTGTGTATTTCTTGCTATTATTCCATCTTTCTTTTGTTAGACATCTTTAGCTGTTGTTACCCTTTCTGTGTATGGCCCTGTAAAGAAGCTGTGTGAATCCTGAAAGGATATTTAGTGCTGCCTTGCCGTGCTATTGCTTTTGCAGGGACCTGGGCAAAATAAGATCCTGATCTCTCCCCTACTTAATTTTTATGTACAAAGATTTTTAATGAATCTTTCAAACTTCCTGTTTATATCTCGAGGGAGGTATGGCTTTTTTCTTCTTCCAGCCAAAAAATCTAAGAGGTTCACTTGATTTGAAACGTGTTGAATGGCAAGCTGCTGCAAAAAGATAAACCACTCTTTTTGAAGATGGCAGCTCAGCAGATTTCAAAGCAAATTAATCTGGGCCATTGCCWTTAGTGGCAGGTGTGAAGAAGACTGTGCTGAAGTTCCAAGCCACCACATGCTGAACCATGTAACAGCTACTTGCAGCTACTATCCAGACTTCTGACTTCTCTTTCAAGTATTTGACAGAGATTCTGTCCCTAGATTTTGTTATACATGTGTCTTAGCTGGTGTAAGTCTTCAGAGACTTTTTGCAGATTATTTCAATATATTTTTAATTGTGTTGATTGTCTTCAGTCAAATTGGAAGGTTCAGTTGCAGCACACAAAACTACTGTTTGCTAGTCTGTGTTGGTCATCTTTCTGCWGGGTTTCAAAGTAGCTCATGTAATTTTGGAAGTGTCAAAGTAGTATCACAGACAAAAGATGATCAAAAAGCTTAATTTAGAGTAATCATTGTTCTAGATGACTTTCTTTAGGCAGAAAGCTGTCAAGTTTGTAGTTTGTCTTGACAAGTGTAACAAAGGAAATTGTTATTTCCTTATTAAATTGTTATTTCCTCCTAATTAAATGCAATTAAAACAGTTAACCCATTTTAACGATGAATTTCAAAAGATCCCCTCTGGGGATAGAACCCAACAGCCCTGGCCTTTCTTTATAGATTAGCTGATAAAATTGCTAGTTTCTAATCACCTGTTAGAGTTATGTAGCAAGAACAGCCTCATCTGAGAGTAGAAAGCCTTGATTTTTAGAGAATGTTTTTTCTGCATTTGTGTGAGGTGCAGCCAGGGTTAAACTGGGTTAGTGGCAGTTCCTCACTGGAGAGTTCCTCAGTGTGTGTGAGACCGGTGTCTGTGCTGAACCTTTGACGTGTTCAGAGTGCTCCATCACTAGTGTTTCTTGCTTTCACAGTTTTTTCTTCTTTCTCTACATTCTTACATACTGTTTTATGCAAGATACCTTTTCTGTTTCCAGACTCACCTTTTAAAGCCCTTAAAARTTGGTTTGAAATGTGAGCACTGTTGTTCTTCCTTGTTCCTCTGGTGTTACATGATTGCCATTAAAACATACCAAGATGCCACTTCACTCCTGATGCCCAGCCAGGCAAAGAAGTCATTAGTTGATATGCTGCACTTGTCCATGTGATATCCCTCAATACCAGCAGTGTTAATCCCATTCCATGGGCTGAAATTCAGCAGTTTGTTTGACAAATCATTTTTCTCCAGACACCACACATCATGAGTTGAATAAAGTGATGCATAAAAAGCATGTTCAGAATGAACAATCATTCATTCATTGAAGTGAGTTACAAAGATTGGAAAAGTGAGTTAACACAGCAGATCATTTTCTGTGGTGTTTTCCTTAACTAAAATTTACAGTGGCAGTAATCTCTGGCCTTGCCTGTCAGTTTTCACAGTCATTCTTTGGCTGCTTGTTCCTCTGTTATGATGCTTTTATCTTGAATCCCTTTGGAGTCTTGGRAAGAGGAAACCACGTTGTCTTGTGACAGCCAAACAGGCTCAGGCATTGTTACCTTATCCCTCTGATGCAGCTATTGAACCCAGGAGCCCCATCTTTGACATAGTTTCATTTCCTGCTTGGTTCCTCTTAGCAGCAGCTTTTGATAGAAATCTTTAGTCAGGTGAGGTAAGTATTTCAGATAGGAATGTTTAATCAGTGCTTTTAAAATGCTGCTAAAATTAGGAGCATTTTTTTATGTCATATATATATGTATTTATATATAGATATGTCTATCTTAACATTGAAGTCTCATGCTTTCTGTAGCAGAATTCCTCTCTAGTTCTGACCTCAAGTTTGGGCACRTATTTTAATTGGTAGCATGCCATTTATGCTGTGAGGTATTATTCGTATTGGCATGAAAAAGCTGATTCTTTTAATGAGTTTTTCTTCTACACACTGTTGAAATATAGAAATGTTCCAATTAATGTTTAATAACCAAAACAATTCCATTTGTTGTCATAGCTCTCTGAGAGGCTGTATAGTGTGTGCCAGTGAGAACATCCTATACACCATGAGTGTACAGGCATAAAGTCATTCTGACTGAACAGTAAAGCTTCATACTTTTCTTAATCTTACAATTCCCTGTTTTCTTCCTTAATACTTTCTTGCAGACAAAGAACGAGAACGCCAGAGAGTATCTGCAGAATTGAACCCAAAGACTATGAATGGAGTAGAACAGCATGAGCCCCTTCAGTCATCAGTTCAACTCCAGTGTAACCTAGGCAGGCCAAAGGCAAAATCTTCCTCAGTTAAAATATCCAATGCGTCAACCCAGGTTGAAACAAAGACAGATGATTCAGTGAAAAAAAGAGGTAAATTGGATCTCTGGTTGCTTTGTTCTGAGGTCATAGGACAGCTGAGGCCTCTAGGAAAAAAAATTGTGAATTGACATAAGTGAAAAAGAGATGTGTTGGAAAGTAAGTGTAAAATTGTAACAGAATGAGTAAAACAATTTATGGTCTATTTAGCATTATATTAAATGAAATTTAAACTGAAGAATTTGAACTAACAATGCCTTTCTTCTATCATTATTTATTTGATTTGGGAGATTAATTTGAGCAGTCATGTTTAGAAACTGAAGAGCACGATGTAGGGACTATGGAAAAGCTGGATTTATGAATTGCAGTAGAATAGCCACTTCATYCTAATCTGGGCAAATAACTTTTTAAACTATCCCTGGTCCCTCATTCAGAAAAACTAAAACCACCTTTCTGACTTTTGTGCAATTTTTGTTTTCTGTTTTAGGGCCAAACATTGAAAAATCAGTCAAAGACTTGCAGCGTTGCACTGTTTCTCTAACCAGATATCGTGTGATGATCAAAGAGGAAGTGGATAATTCAGTGAAGAAGATCAAAGCTGCTTTTGCAGAATTACACAGCTGGTAGGTAAATCAGCTTCAGAAATCATCAGCTCCACCTAGAAAATGGACTAATTAAGCCACTGGCATTAGTGGGGAGGGGTCATTTGCACCCTCTTTGTTTGCAGCATTTGGTTTCATTAAAAAATCCCCATGGTGCCATTAAGTAATGACACTCCTCATCAACCAGGAAGTAATATATGCATATGTTTTACACATACATAAAGTGAAAAAAACTCAGGCATTTTTTCTCCTAATTTATCCATCTTGACCTAATTCTTTTGTATCAGATTCAGTGGCASCATATATGAGCAAATGAAAGCTGTTCTAAATATCCTGTGATTTTCTGAAGTCTCTTCTACCTTCTTTTAATCTCTTCTTTCTATGCTGCATCTTTGATCTTATCTTCTTTGGCAGACAGTCCTTTACTGTCTCTTCATGTCCCATCATCTTTGCTTCTTATCCTACCATTGTTCTCTTAACTTTCTTTCATACTTTCTTCTAAGTTTCCCATCCATCATTTAATTTCCAATTCACWTCTCTAGTTCATTATTTTTCCTCATTCTTTTATCTATTTTTTTCCATTATAATTTTGTTTACTCCGGATCTTCAGCATGTATACCTATGCCCTTTGAAAAGTTACAGCAGAAATAATTGCAAGTTGCATGTTTGGTGTATTCTTGTCATAGAAAAGAATTTTCTGCTTTGAGTTTCACACAGCCTTGGTTAAGCATAGATGTAATATAAAAATCTGTGTATTAGTGTTGAAGTAAACAGAAGAAATTGTGTTAAAATGTACAATACTTGGTAAAAAAATCACAGAAGAGTGAAAAACCTTTCCCCTTCAATTGCKCCCCAGTATTTGTCAGTATTTTTATGAGCATATCCTATAAAAGAGTGGTAGTATTGGAAGAAGTTTGTTAASTTTGGATTTCAGGGGTGTATTCATTGTCTTCCAAGATGCATYTAAAGTAGCTTTAGGACCACAGGGGCTCCACTTCTGTAGGGCAGAAAATCCAAGKGCTACTGAGCTGATTTTGGGGAAGATTCTGTTTCACTGAGTCTCCAGTCTACTTTACTGTATAGCCAGAAGAGCTATGWTTCTGTCTCTGTACTCCAGCAAATATGAGCTGTGATCATCTGTTGTACTAAACTGCATAATGTTGTCAGTATTATTCTGGAGCCTTTACAGTGATTTTTACTTATGAACTTAAATGTAGTAATAAGAATGTTGGGATGGAAAAATTGAACAAAGTTCATCAAYTCCTTACATCTTATTTTGGTAATTCTCAGAGGGGACCTTTTCTCTGAGAAAACGATATTTGGATTTCATTTGCTGCCTAGTTCACACTCATTTTATTTTATTTTTGGTACTAAGTGTTAAAAATGCATTAAGTCACGTGTTTCACGTTGGATGCAGGCAGTCACAGGCAATTCAGTCTTTAAGCAATTGTTACTTTGGTCATGGAACAGACCTAGAGTTCTGTCATGATCTAAAAGTGCAGGCAGGTAGTAAGCTCAGAACTGAAATTCTTTTTGTTTTTCATGTATTCATATTTAGCTTGAAAAACWGTAAAGTGTATTGCCTAATACTAAAATACCCCAAAAGAGTCTGTAGAGGCAAGTACTTAAAATGATGAAAATAGCCTGAAAAACTTTTCAATAGGTTTCATTTCATTTTGCCTCCTACCAGCTTCAGTGCCTAAATGATTGAAGTGGAGTCTGCTGGAAGCTCTAGAAYGTAAAAGATCTGTGGGCTGAATATTTGTGCCTCAGCATAACATTGCAGTGAGGACAGTACAATGTCAGGAAATGTTTATGRAAATCTCAGTGCTGGCTGTGTTGCTTTTGGCAGCTCATAAGTCTTAACATTTAGGTTTTTCTTCAAATGAATGAAGGGGATTTTTTGTTTAAACAGTAAGCAGCATGRCTTAACGTCTTCTTTGCTGAAATTAAAGAGAGTTTTTTCATGTTTTGTGATTTTGTAGTCTGAAGTTTGAGAAAGATGGGCACAGCTGTTTTGATGCCTTGTTTACAAAAACTCCCTGACAAGTGGTATAGATTTCCTGGATTTGGGTAGAAATCACCCRAGGCAGTGATACCTATAGCTGCAGACCTCATACAGGGATCACATCATCTTCCTGAGCTGCACAGTTTAGTGCAGGKTATTGACACAGGAGTTTCCTTGCTCCAGAGTTGATCAAAATATCACTAGTGCTAGCAGGAGAAAAAAGTATTGAGTAAATACTAAAAAGTCCCTCCTTGGGCATGGGACTTTCACTGTGACACAGTCAACTTGTCTGTCAAGGAAAAATTAAGAAATTCAGATAAAACTATGGCTCCTAGAATGCTAGGGAGTGACCAAAGCAAGGGCATGATATCAGGTCTCCATTGTGATGGTGGTTGCAAAGCTTTTTCCAGCTTGTGGACTGGTTGAGATGGACAGCAGATAAACATACAACAGCCATCAAGTGCTTTCTGTGTTCAGAACTGCCAGGAATACTGGAAKGGACTCAATACTGTAACCACTTCTGTTACACACAGCTGTCACCACCTGAGGGGTTTTAGTGAAGCTAAATGGAGTCAGAAACTTTCATCATGCATTGCAGCTGAATGCTGAAACACTTACTAATTTGTTGTCTCRTTGGGGCTTATTTTTCTTCCTTTAGTAATAGGATAAAAGACCACTTTTGTGTCTTTTTGTATTTACTGTCAAGGTCAGAATCAAAACTGCATTGCAAGAGTCAGTCATATTTTTGACTTTCTGATAATCTGTTTTGGTTTTTTAAATCTTTTCATGATCTTACCAATCACAGAAAGAACGAAGAATGCAAAGATAATATTATATATCTTTGTCCTACTTCCAGATAGTAAATGAAACCATTATTGTGGAGTTAAATGAATAACACATGTGGCCTAAGATGTCCTGAAAGCTTTAGCAGAAAGATTCACAAGAACTTTTCCTTTAAGCTGCAGAATCTCTTGAGTGATAGCTGCCCGTGAAAATCCATGTTTCTTTCTGGCTCAGTATTTCACAGCWTGACCTAACCAATGAAGGGAAGTTACTCCTGAACATGTTCAGTCAGAACTATGGTGCTATTTAAAAAGTCACCTATCTGGCAAAACAGTGCATACCCTCCTACAACCTAAAAAGCRGTGCTAGGGAACAGGTGTGCTGTTAATCCCTGTGAAAGGGGGGAGAAAAAAATGCAAGGCTTACTTCAGTTTTGACTTTTTAGTAAAATGGGGCAAATAACAGTCCCAGAAAGATGTTTATTTTAAAAAAACTGTATTGAGCTCACTTCCCTTTCTTTAAGAGCCTCATTGAAGTTTCTGCTAACTGGAGTAATTCTCTGTGTGCTCAAAATAAGTGATAACAGCTTGCATTTATTCAGTTATTTTCATGCCAGCAGACACTAGAGCATTTTACAAGCCTGGACCAGGCAGGGCACTTTGCCCCACAAGAAGACTTGTGCAGTATCCTATGGATTGTGCTCCTGCTGTGATCCAGCACTCTGGTTTCCCCTGCTCTTGCTGGGATTTCTGTGACATTGCTTTCCCAAGGTTATGAGAGCACTGAGCAAAGCAAGCTGAAGGGCAGTTTCTCAGGCTCACATGCTCCTGAAAGTTAGGAGCAAAATCTTCCTGACAGCACTCCATGATCCTGTGTTTCTCCTCATTGCATTCAGTTTTGATGTATGGTTTGCAGGAATAACTTTGTGTGAGTGCAAACATAAGGTGCTACCCTTACTACTTGGATATAAAATCTATCAGAGCATAGCCATGTCTCACAGTAGTGTAGAGCACAGAAAAGAAGACTACCAAATAGTTCTTGAGTTGCAGGGGAAGGTCAGAAAAGCACAGTGAACTCTCCTCTCCCTAGAGTGTATTTGAGACATTTGTTGTCAAGCTTAAAACCTACATACATAACTTTTCCACCARGAGACTAAATAACCATTCTGGGGATAAAAGGAGGGCCCATGAAATCTGAGCAAAACATGTGGAGCACAAAAGGAGCCACAGTTCCCCATAACACCTCTTGTCTCATATTGGGCGTTCATACAGTCATATGGAAAACTAAAAGGAAACATCTACTACTTGCCCATATAGTCTGCTTCCAGCCACAAATAAGTCTGGAGAAAATAGTAAGAGCTTGGTTTAATTACACTGCATGCAGTTCTAAACCACAYAAGCACAAGCTTGTCTACTCTTTTGTAACACAATTGGTATGTCCAATGCTTTGTAAAGAGTRTGAAGATCAACACAACTGAATTTKTGCAGTGAAGAAAAAGCAGTCAAAAGCTTTACTGTAGGCTAGACAAAAAATTGATTCTGACATAATGCTGGGAAGATGGAGTTTGGCAATACTGACAATTTAAAAAATATTAAAATAGATTCAGGATAACTGTTCAAAAGCATGTGCTGTATGTTTGGAGGAAATTAAGCAGTTTTTATATTGTTTTCCAAGTTAAAGCAGAGGAGTGGCTGAATAGAAGAAGAAGTAATCTAAAAGAATGTAATCATGTCTTTGCTTACATCGTTGTGTCTGTACTCACTCAGTGCAGGGTGGTGAGTAGCACTGCCAGTGCTTCCAGTTGCAAAACAATGAGAACACAGGTGCCCTCAGTAAAACACASAACACAGAGGTTTTGAGGCCATGCAGGTAGACTGTTGCTTTTGTGCATGTCATTGTGGATGAAAAGTATCTCCTTTCTGATCTCACTGTTGTCAGACTAATAAGAAATCTAATTTACTAAACACAGAAAGGGCATCATTATCTTGAAAAGTTTCAGCTGACATTACACCAAAAAGCCAGACCCTCTCCTTTCTTTGAGGCCACTTTCCAGTGTGCTTTTGGGAAAGTTACCTCTCCTCTGTAGCAGGAGCTCAGCACTTTCCCTTAGTGAAGTGTGAAGTGAAGGCTAAAATACATAAAACCAATAAAGTATTTAGATATGTCACTAGTCAAATCAGAGCTGAAATTCAAATAGGAAAGAAATGCTTTACAAGTTCATGTAMAAATG